GCATGCACTGCTGGCGCAATGCAGTCTCACCAGATGCTCGGTGGTGCTTGCCTTTGCTCCTTGATTCCGTTTTCGTTTTCATTTTGTAGTGGCATTTCTAGGTAGGCCGCATGCGCTGCTGGCGCAATGCAGTCTCACCAGATGCTCGGTGGTGCTTTCTTTTGCTCGGTGATGCCGTTTTCGTTTTCATTTTGTAGTGGTATTCTATAGGTAGGCCGCGTGCACTGCTGGCGCAATGCAGTCTCACCATGATGCTCGGTGGTGCTTGCTTTTGCTCAGTGATGCCGTTTTCGTTGAAAGGTCTGCGATGCCTTAGATGTCCTGGGCGGCACGGGCGCTACACAAACGCGCTCAACTTTCGCCAGGGTTCTTATTTTGGGGGGTGGGTTGGTTCAGGGCACCCTAACCCGTTCGGCCCCGCAGTAGGCTTGACCCGGCTGCCCTGCGAGTGTTTCTGCCGCCCTAACACGTAGGCCACCTTTTTTTCCCACGGCTCTGCTCTGAAGTGCATGTCCCGCGCTCGCTCCTCAAAGGTAGTTTGTTGGTTCACCGCATGTGGCAACATCGGAAGCAGCACACAGTATAGCAGCACCACATCAGCGGCATCGTGCAAAAAACAGCATTGTAACTTGTAACAGCAGCTCACCACTCAGCGGGAGCCTCAGAGTGCAGGCGCTGGGCTTTGCGGCGTTGAGAATCAGTGGGGTTGAGTGTTTGTGCGCCTCGTTGCTGCGGCCCGCCTCACCTTTGCCCCCTTCCCCGCCACTGCTGTGCTCAGGCTGCATCACTCGCCTCGTCACCTTCGACATCGGATGGCCTGGAGCCTGGAATTGCGCCAGGAGCGGAGTTTTGGTGTTCCAGGTCCCCCTCCCACTGCCCTCCCTCGCTGCCCGTTCCCTTCCCCTGTAAATCCCTGGCGTCTCTTCAGGTTGGACCTCTCTTCGATGCCGAGCCGATCTTCAGAGTGCCTGCCGAGGTTGTTTTGGGGCAGAAGGGTTGGGGTTACGTTTCAGGGTCTCCCCCGCCCTTTCGGCCGTTACCCTGCCACTCCTGGCGCAATCGAATCCGTGGATTGCCCAGGTCCTCTTGCTCTTTGTCAAGAGGCCCGCTGCGGGGGGCAGGCATCGACGGTTGCCTTGAGCACGATGCAAGGTTTAGGTTTTGAGGGTTGCGCTTGGGTTATATGGGGTGTGGGGCAGGAGCCGGGAGCAGCGGTGTTACCGTGCCAGCTTGACCACCTAGTTCCATTCGACCCGTAGTGAAATTGAGAATCTTCCCGCCATGCTCCAGGCCCTGACTCTGGGCGCAATCATCTGGGACTCTGCCTGGGCCAGAAGAAAAAAACTGGAGTGCGACTCATCGTTGCCTTGCAAGGTTCAGTCGTTACAGGTTGATTAAAGTCCCGTGTATCTACCGGGCGTCCGTTTGAGGAACCTTCATGCTCGGTAGTGGTTGATGAGGCAAGAGCATTCCCACCGCAAAAGGGCCCGATTCCCGGTTGCCAAATAAGGCTAGTCAGGGGAGTTGTCATGCATCTGTAGCTGGAAACAGTGCGCCAGTTGTGAAGGCATGTATTTTGCGAGTTTTCGCATCCGTTGCGCCAGTTGCGATTCCCCGGGACGCGTTTTTTGGGGGTGTTGCGCCAGTTGTGCTGGCGGCACGGCGCGTTTTCTGCAACCTTGGAGGTTGCATGGTTTCTTGGTGTTTTGGATCCCGTACTGGCGTTTCTGCGGTAATGCTCCAGTTGCGGAAGACCCAAGTGCTAGAAACCGCCAGTTGTGAAGGAAAATTAATGTATCCGACTTGCGCCAAGAGCGGCAAAAATAGTATAGCCTGTTATTGCTCTTGGTCGAATTAGCGGAGTATTGAGCTACATCTGCGACTTGAAGAGAATCTATACATCTCTCACCTGAAGACAGCTTCATTGAAAAGAGCAGAACACGCACAAAAACGCAAACGGATCTTCAACTGGAAACTTGTGCTTGAAAGTTGCCCACTTGTGTTTCAGTTCCCTCTCCAGGTGGAAAGCATACTGTAACATAAAAGGTTGTAGAGCTTAGCTCTACTTGATGCCAGCATGACATCTTGCGACACGGCAAACGTATAAGGGCATTAGAAGTATCTTATCCTGAGATAAGTATCTTCTTCGGAAGAATGTCTCTAAGGAAGTACCTCTTCATGAGAAAAGCATCTTCCTATGAAATGACGAATGCTCAAGTGGATACCTTCTTCTGAAAGAAGCATTCCGTGAAACACTCATTCCACTTCTTCCATCGGACCTTGGGTCATTATTTGGGAAACCCTGGGAATGCTTAAGACTGCAGCATTTCCTGGTGCAAAACCTGTTTGGGTATCTGTTCCCGGAGCCTTCAAAAAGTGGTGCGAAACCTGTTTGGGAAACTGCCCGCCGACTCCTGAAACGCTGCTCCCAAGGCTATGAAAAGTGGTGCGAAACCTGTTTGGGAAATTGCCCAAAAGTGGTGCGAAAGCTGTTTTGGAA